ATTAGTCCGTGGAGCAGTTGATAGTGGTAATTAGAGTCACCGAGCGAGCTTAATCTTCGAGCAGGCTCCTTGAATTCGAAACAGTAAATACGATCGACTGATTACTTCGAATGGGACAGACTGTGCTTACGCCGCCATCTTTAAAATTTAATGGCTAGGATTACTGTTCCAATCAAAGATAAATTTCAATTAAACAAACCCATCATTGTTATTATAACTTTCTGTTATTCGATCACGTTATCTTTCATGGTTATTACGAAGATGGAGAAACCGATAATAATATAATACAACGTGTGTGTTCCATCCATGTAAACACAACCGTTCGAATGTATTTGATTTTGTAATTGACTTTAGTAACACGAATCTAAGTTTACCGTTCCTATTAAAACAACAAGAAAAAAATTAGTCCAGTGGCCTAAGTATAATTTTCTCTCGAAACCATCTTTCCTACGTTCGTTCTATATTAAAATTCAAATTTATTCAGTAAGTTTACCATTCATAATAACGATGAGTTTAGTTCAGCAAATACTGGTTGCTCTTAAGGTAATCTTTCGATTTGTTTGCTTCGCGCTGAAGTACAAATTTACAATTCGTATTGAAACAGCGAAGAAAAAGATTTGCAATTAAAGGATTGACGGGGGAAGCCTTAACAACGCGTACCGCTCGCAGAAACGGCTCAGTCGTAGCTATTCCAGTTTAAACAATGACTCGAAAAAGGAAACTCTTCAACAAAGTGTAACGTCCACTCTTCGCTGAACAGTTAAACAAAACATATCTCGAGCAAACACATTCCGGCGAGTGCAAATCCCGACATACAATTTAACTGGCGTACTTCTGTAATTTCACCAGCGTGTCGAGTGCACACGCCTTTTCCTACACTTGCAATTCTCTTTCCCGTTTCACAGAGGAACCGTTGAACGTGGAAAAATATTCATTACGCTTTATTATCGCTTTATGTCCCTTACATTGGCATACCATGAGTTTTAATTCTTTTAAATTTGACGATATCGATTATAGTACTTATTGCTACTGTAATTAAAAGCGGTGTCAGTGATTTCACTAGCACAATCTGGAAAGAAAAGTTCCTGCAGTTGGTAGGAAAATTGAACACCTAGTTTATCTTGACCCTGCACGGGAGGAAGTAGAGCTGAAAATATGAATGGAGATTGATCTGAAAACTCAAGAATAAAACATTAAGGTCAACAGAGACGAATAGTATAGAGAACAGGAAAAAGCGTTGAATACTTGACATAGAAACATCAGATCAAATCGAATGACTCTTCAGCAGTTCAGAGTGGTCTGTTGTGAAACAAGGATTCGATTAGAAAAGCGTGAAAAGAGTCAAACTTTCCAAAATGTATATGCTGTTCCATTAAAAAAAAGAAATAATGGTCGTTTATATGTTATGAAAATTACTTTAATGACTTCTACAGTACCAGACAAATATTTCTTTACTGTTCAAAAACTATTCCTAATAATACTATACACAAATAAAAGTCACTGACCTTTCAAGAATTATATTTGTTACTACTTTTACGTCGCATCAGTTTGTTTTTGAGGAGTAGTTATATGATATGACGGGGGCAACAAATTTAATTTTATTCCGGCTATACTGTTATCTCGTAACAGAGATTGGTCCATCGTATTACAGCCGAGTCTATTCTATATTCGAATTAGCGTGGCGTATCATTTACGTCAAACTATTATCTCGCATTCCATGTTCACGACAACCTCCTACGTGTCCTGGACCTCTTCGCCCCTCGACCTTTCTCGGAATTGCAAATTATAGCAAAGCATGCTATTTCTGTGAACGTACAGTAATCGTAACATGTGGGCATTAATTCACAGGTACAATTGTGGCAGAATATTAATAATGAAAAAAGTTTGTTCAAACATGTACGTACCCTAGAAAAGTTTCATTTACACAAGTACACATTTAAATAGGTATTTGCTTACAGATTTAGACAGTTCAGAGTCTTGTGTTACGCTTGCTCGATGTATCGATTATTAATGGAAAATAATATTTGTTATATTTGTTATATTTCTTTGTGGAAGTATCATAAACGAATTGGCAAGTTTCTCCTGATGAAAATGAGTCCAAACACGAACCCATTCGGATCATTTTCAATTGTATGCTATACTCGCTATTTTTGAAAAATTTTTTATTACGTATAATTCAAAGTGATCCGAATAGGGTCGTGTTTGTACTCATTTTCATCGGGGAAACCTCGCCGACTCGCTTATGATACTTTCATGAAGCTACAATGCACAATAAATTTCTATCGATAATGATAGAAAATTGTACTGGGTAGAAAAAGTTTGTCAAGATAAAACGTTATACGTTATTTAGATAAAATTGTGCCCGGCTATGGTAGATAACAGGGACACGAAGAATTCCCTAGACGAAAAGAAATTATCGGGAAGAAAAGGAGCAACGAAACCCATGTCACGTAACTTCCCTTCGGTCGATTCAGCCTAAAGGAAATAAAGGTTTTTACGGCGTTGCATCCGCGGTGATAACTGTCACGGATGGCGCAGGCTGCCCTCGGTAATTTCGGCAGGGAAAGATGCCAAAAGTGTTCAGACGAACGTGCAATATTTCAACGTGTCGCGCAAGATGCCACGATAAGACGTATCCTCACGGAAAAACTCGTCTGGACCCGAAGAATTATGTAAATACTACGCGTTACGCTCCGCAGGTTACGGTTGTTACGGTTGTAACAAATTTTCAGGCTTGTTTGTTAACCTCTGTTTCTCGAGTTTCCTCTACTTTCGGTGCACTTTAATGCCCGAAACGATGGCGCAAGTTTATTCGTACACGGTAGTGTTTTCGTTCCGGCGCACATTCTTTGAAAGTTAAAAACCATTAATGTTTCAAAATACGTGGGAATTTTAAATTAACACCTTGTTTCGAAAGTTTGTTTTCGCGCCCGAGTTAGATAAATGTAATTGAATTAAAAAATGGCGAAGAGTCAACACGATCATTTAGATCAGTGAATCGTATGAAACTAAATTGTACATTATAAAATAGAAAGGAGAAAGCAGTAACCACTTAAAATCCGGGTGACTGCTTTCAGCGATCACTTGATGTCGCTCGAGATGCAGAAGCACTCGTACTTCAGTCCTGCTTTTTTCCTTTTTAGCTTAGCCTCGATTACGTCTCAAAACTGCCATCACGAATTTCACTGTTTTTTAATATTCATATTATTTTCTACTTTTAGTTCAACAAATATTGACTAACAACTTATCGAACTTAACGATTTACAAGTAATTAGAAGTGATCGAGTTAGGTGACTCATCCTTTATTACAATCTTTGTAAGATACCAAGATAACGACACGAAGAGTCACAATGATTGGTTGATTACAGTAATCGACGCTCTTCTTGATACCGTATATCTTTGATTGAAACATTATATTATACAACAAACAGTATCATTTTGAAGTGGTCAGATTCTTAATTTAATTTAGGCAGTTGATATTTTGATAGACAGTAACAATAACAATAGAAAACGAGAATAGATCTCGACGGTAGCTTTCCCGCGCGAGTATACAAGTTGTTTTATTGTTTCACCGTTCGTGGCGCTACTAATAAAGGGACTAATGTTTCCCTGCATCTACTCTATCGTATACTTATTGCCATGAAAACCACATCGTTTCTCTGGACATTTCCATCCATGATTCCATTTACAGGCGATGAACGTGTTAATATCGATGCGTACCAATTCCCAAACATCGACGGTTCACTGTAATTGAATGTGAACTTAAACGACACGTCCTTTGTCCCGAACAACACACGTTTCTTTCATCCGCTAATTATTTTTCCGCGCAATCGAACCGACGCTCGACGAACCCGCATCGTGTACATTTCGCCATCTCCTTGGGTGGCTGTTCGATCATGAACGATTAACCCTGTACTACAAGGGTGCTCTTGTGTTCATCGTGCGCGAAGCAGCTGGAACGTCGCCAAGACTTCAACAGTCTCATTCAGGTCGAGTTACTCCGGGATATGTACCACGTTCAATAACAAGTTGCCGACGTTGCCGTGGAGAGATTCTAATTTTTCCCAGGGAAGGCAGGCAGGGCACCCGCGTAGGAGAGTTGAAGGTTCCAAGATGCACTTGGACCGCACCGAGAACAATGTACAAACTGTTGTGAATACGTACACGGGCCAGCGTTGGAGCACGTACTCTTTGAAACTTGGGAATCTTTTTTTTTTTCTTTTTTTTTGTCACTCAAAACTCGCGTGCATTTCTTCTTGTCCCTCGGAACGTTGACCCACTTGAATTTCTCGTAGCTTTTAATTTGTTTATTAAAAAGAATCACCCTCAAAGAGCTCCAAGTAATTTCTAGCAATTTAGAGTCTGTCTTTTGTTGCAATCTTCTGTGGAACCCCCTAATTGGTATCGTGGGGTGCTTCTTCATCTCTGTTGTTTTTCATTTTGTCAGTATTTTATTTTAAAGGTAGTCTGTAATTGGGAGTATATTTAAGATAATATAAAGTACAATATTGATTATATATAAATTTAAATTGTACTCTTGAGTATAATTAAAAACATTTGTAGGTTTTATCTCATTGTCGATCCTCGGATAAGACACGAAACCGTGTTCAAAAGGCAGTACTTTAAGTAACACGAAACGTGTGTCTAAGTATTTGGCCAAAAGGTCACGGTCGTCACTTATCGTTAACAAGCATTACGGCTCATCTTTGCGAAGCGTGTTGTTTGCGATTATAATTGTCACGTTACCGAGCCTCGGTTTCAGAGATCGTCAAGCGACGCGTGGGCGCGAACACAAATATATTTTTCGGTTTTTTATAGATTACAATTTTGGTATAACATAATATTTTTAACAACACAGAATTGTTAAAAAAATTTTCTCGTATAAATACGAATATCGTTACAGGAACAAGTTTCAGGATTACCTGATAATAATAATAAAAAATTTATTGAGCGCATTCAGCCTTGCTAGATTTGGAAGAGAATTTTATTTTCTGTTTCAGGAGACTCTTTGCAATGCACGCCTCTGGATCGTGCATACAAGAGCAAAGTATTGGGACACTATCCAGACTCGGTACCATGGAACCCTTTCGACGATCATGCTGTCTGCATGGTATGTCGCGTGGAAAACACGTGTTCCTTGTTCAAAAATTAATTTAATTTAAAAGATACAATACGCTATCGTTCTAATAGTTAAGAACCTCAAAAACTGGAAAAGGTTGTCTATGTAATAGGTGAGACAACAGTGGTCAAGGTTCTTGCATGAGTATTTTGTAATTCTTATAGAAAGAGGATATTGATACATAAACACACAACAATACAGGGTGCTTGGGGAAAAATTTTAATGGGATTTTAATGGGAGATTCCAGAGTCTAAAATAAGACGAAAATCAAGAATACCAATTTGTTGATCGAGGCTTCGTTAAAAAGTTATTAACGTTTGAAGTTCTCCCTGTAAAACGGCATCGCGCGTGTACCCAGCTATGTATATGCAGATTGCCGTTCCACAGGCGTAACTTTAAACGTTAATAACTTTTTAACGAAGCCTCGATCAACAAATTGGTATTCTTGATTTTCGTTTTATTTTGGCGTCTAGAATCTCCCATTGAAATTTTTCCCCGCGAACACCTGCCCCCTCGAGCGTTAATTTACCCTGTTGTGCGCCGTGCTATCGACAAAGAACGTCGAAATCCGTATCACGGTTACAATACAACTGGGTCTTCGCATCTCTTGCCCGAGTTCCAACAACCGCGGAGGACGTGACGCAGAGCAAACTGTTAGCGGATCAACGGTACACCCAACGCCCGTTTACACCGCGTTCTAGTTGCGGATGAAAAAGACGAGGCTGGGAATGAAAAGGCCGTTTGTTCAACGTCTCTCATTAGATATTCAATCTTTCAGCTTTGCCTGCCGAGCGGCCTGAGATTCCGAACCCAGAAGCACTCGGTGGAGCCAACGTTCCACTCGTTCGTGCTCACCAAAGAAGACGGGCACAGAACGTACGGTTTCAGTCTTGTTTTCTACGAGGAGTGCAGGAATCGAAAGATATGCGCGGCTATGCAAACCCTGCAGGCGATGCATATCACGGAACTGAGCAGCGGCCAAAACGGTACACCGCCAACGTGAGTCTCCTTTGCGCCATTTGCTCGCTGCATCCTCCAATGATACAGTTAATTACGCCTCCAGTCGCTCGGAGAACGGACAACGAATCGAGAAATTAAGGGAATTGGACACCGTGTATTAATCGTTTTAAAGCTTCAAATTGTCTTGTCAATTTCTACAAGCGTTACGCCTTAAGAGAGCTGCCTGGTCATTTTCTTTTTCTTTCTCTCCACTGTGTTAAAAATTCATGGTTTCAAACATTGTAAACGTATTCGACGTACTTAATAAGAAATTGTACAACGTCTTATATGTATAGTGAGAGAACTCTTAATCATCCAAATATTAAACCACGTTCAGAAATAGATAAATGAATAAAGGATAGATGAAAATTGTGTATCCGATGATATGTACCTTTGTAATACAATAGTCTTACTAAGTCAAGGCATTGATTGCTAACTAAATGACGTGTATTTTACCTCTAAATGTTTACCTTGAAAGCAGAAGAAAATATTCACCAGGTTGCCCTTTCAGCATTATACGAAGCATAGTCTAGATATTTTTATTAATACCAAGATTAAGAATGATATTCAGGTGTTCTGTTTCTCATGATTCATCCTAGACAAAAACTCCATTAGTAGGAAACGAGCAAGACAGAATTCGTGAAAGGTTTGACGGAAATGCGTTTTGCAGGGTAAGGAAAGGCCAGGATGGACATAACACGCGATCGTTGCCACGGCATTTCAAGCTATCAGCACACTCACCAGGTGCTGCGTTGGGCTACTATGACTCTACCAAAGACAAGTTGCTAGTGACCAAATCGATATCCTTGCTATGCCAGCAGCCTTACCTCCATGCCGCGAAAACGTTCCTCACTAATCTCTACAAGTAAGAGCCCTGAATTCTCATGTCCTGTGGGCAGAACAAAAATAAATTTAACGTTAGACAAATATCAACAAGACTACTGCATATTACAGATCAAACTTGTCTGCCATGAAACATTATAATTTGCACGTTACATTTGATTTCTGTAAATAAATTTTATTTCCATCAAGATTAGTTTGTAGAATTATGTTAACTAGAAACTTTGTACCCTTTCTTATCAGTGTTATAACTCTTTAAATTATTAAAACGGAATAAAACGTATTTCCGTTTTTAGATGTGTTCCTAGACATCCAGGACCTGGTCTTAGCTTAGAGTCCTACGTGTACAATATTCTTTACAACGTACCGGTACCATTACCTGGGAAGTCGTTGAAATTCTTCGTTCCCAGCGACGAGCCAGCGAAATCACCATTAGAACTGGTTATACATCAGCCGACACCGTTGCAGGAACTACCGATGCTCGATTATCCTCTGAAAGACATGTTCACATGGCTCGGCGCTGACTGCGTGATTCAGTTATTCACATGCGTCTTATTGGAGAACCAAGTGTTGCTCAGAAGCTCGGATTTTCACAAGTTGATGGTGGTATCCGAGTGCATAACGGCGCTTCTATTCCCATTTTCGTGGCAACACGTATACGTGCCGATATTGCCCGCCAGTCTGCATCATTTCTTAGACGCGCCTGTACCGTTCATAATGGGTTTGCATGCTCAGAACGAGGGTGGTGTGCTGAAAATTGCTAGCGAAGTAAGTGGTTTAGATCTTTCAAAAGATAGAGAATCCTACATCCTACCTATAACATGTATACATGTTTTTTGCACTCCAGACAAGATACTATTTCATATTCTGTTCTTCTATTGCAGGCAAATCTTTGTTATGTAGATATAGATAAGCAAAGTAGCCAATTTCCAGAAGAATTACCCGTGTTTCCTCATAGGATGCAATTTATTGCTGAGATTAAAGCTCTCCTAAACAAGTACAAAGTACCATATTCAGGAAAGTAAGTGAAATGATCGTTGTTCCCTTCGTTTTGCATTCACTTTACACAGTGGTGTAAAATTAAAATATTTTACAGGACTGACAACATGGTCATAAATCATTACAATGGCGATATCATGACTAGTAGTTTGACGCTTCCTGGTTCTGGTTTTCATCTCCCTCGCAGAAAACACTCGTTACACGATGTCTTGGATTGGGATCGACCAGAACCAACACCTCAATCAGACACTTTACAAAGAATAGTAGATATCGTTAAAAGAACGGGTAAATGTTATAGTATAGTAATAATATTCGATCATATTTTTTCTATTCACATACTTAAACATGTATATTTGTTTAACGCAGGAGTGAACGTAGATGATATTGATTCAATAGACGATAACGTGAAGGAAAGAATACTCACGTCGCAAGAGGAGTATCAGGAAACGCTTATGTTTAATAATGCCATTAGGGAGATTTTTTTGAACCGTTTTGTACAGATATTTTCTAGTTACGAACACTTCGTGATTCAACCAAGTCAGGTGAGATACGAGATTTATGCACGATTCGCTGCTGCAATTAAATTACAACTGTAACATCGATATTAATTGTATATTATAGGACAAAGATGAATGGTTGAATAACAGAGATAGTATGCACGTTTTTGATAAAGCTACGTTTTTATCTGACCAACCCACGCAACATTTGCCATTTCTATCAAGATTCCTAGAGACACAGATGTTTGCTTCGCTAGTCGACAATAAAGTTATGTCTACATGGAGCGAGCTCGACTTTAATATACGAGTTTTCGATCAAAGAATTTCTTTCCTGAGGTGAGATTTCTTCTTTTTAACTATTCACCATTTTACGGTTTTATTATTTTCTCTATTTACGTTGGAACGATTAATTATCTCGTTTATAGAAAAAAAGTTGGCGAGGGCATCGTACGATCAACTCGCTACGAACCATGTACAAGTATAGAAGAGTCGCAAAAAGTGTTGGAACAGAGAATGATGAACGTGGATTTCGAGACGAACCCACCCAATGAGATTCTTCCTCACAGGGCGGCGTATTTTCGAAGTTTTCCCTTGTTAGACACTGTTGCATTAAACAAGGAGCCGGCTCAGAGGTACATGTTATGTGCAAATGCAATTTTTCTCTTATATTAAATCAAAGTATACTAATATTTACTATCTTCTTTCCTGCCTCACATGTAGCATACTTCGGTAAGGACTAGTTCTGAAGTCGTTCATTGTGCATGCGTATTTTGCATTACTAACTCGGTGTTATAAATCAGAATTCAATTAATTAAAGAAAACTGTACGTAAACATATATTTACATTTATTTGTTTTTATGTGTTCAGTCCAACATGAATATGAACTCTGTTGAAGTTTAATTTCATTAATTAGTCATGTTTATTTAGTTGGGAGAAACTAAATTTTCAAGTATTAAAAAAATTTTATAGATTCGCAAATACATTAATTCCCCGAATTACATGCTCCACTTACATCGTACGTATTAAATAAAGTTTTCTTGTTTTTTTCCCTTCAACTTTTTTAATATAAAAAGGTACATTTTTGACCGTATTTAATTTGAATAATATTTTATACCAAAAGTAAAACTAGTGGGGAAAATTTCAAAACGAATTAACCGTGTAAGTGGAGGACTCATTTCAGTCCGCTTGTATCATTTGTATTTCGAATTTTATATAATTGAATATTTTTAAATTTTAATAGCCGTCATTTGTAATTGTGTTTATCTCATCTAATTTTAATCAAAACGAAGTGTAATTCTAATTGATCGTTTATTTACAATAGCAGTCGGAGAGGACAGACTCAGTGGAAATACAAAATGAAATCCATGGAATCGAACGGAAAACCAACTGCTCCTCAAGAAACCCAGTCACCCAGGCCACAAACTAAGCTCTCTGCAGACATGAGTCCAGCGTTGATAGCACAAGCCAATTGGACTTTTGTTGAAAAATTGCTCAAGGTACTGTCTTCGAAAAATGAAAGAACTCGGTTTAGATATTTTTCTAAAATAACGTAGTCGGGTACTAAATGTAAATCTTCTTTTGTCAAGGATTGCAAGTCAAAGACAAAGAGGATGTTAGTCGAGAAAATGGGTTCTGAAGCCGTGGCATTGGGCCATGGGGGCGAGTCGTTGTCCGACGTCGAAGAAAATACGCTGGTTGCCAGTCTCTGTGATCTATTGGAACGAGTTTGGAGCCACGGGTTGCAAAATAAACAAGGGAAAAGCGCTCTTTGGTCGCATCTCACCATGTACCAAGAGTTAGAAGAGTGTAACGAAACAACTAAATCCATAGATCCAAACTTTCTCTCTCCTGGTAAGTTCAGATTTATTATTACGCGGCGATACCTGTTATATAATTGTGCTTTATCTTCGTGGCCACGATACTTAATAAATTTTATCACATTTGAAAATTCAGCGCTAGCGTGGTGCGTGCTGCGGAAACGACTCGATTGTACGTGCCTTATTTTATTTAAGATAAAGTGTTAAAAAGTAGAGATTAGTTTCTCATACGTAGATACTCTGCACTGTATTAGTTGTAAGTGACCCATTATTGATAAACAATTATTTATCACTCTCTATGTGTTCTCCGCTAAGAATGCACAACGTATATTAGTGAGTACGTTTACCTGTTACTTTCGAGTAAAATCAAATATTTTAAGCGTAATATTTTGCTTTATTAAATATTACTTACAGGCATATTTTGTATAAAAATTTTTTTATTGGGAAGATTATTCGTTTATCTCCGCTTAAGTTGATTATTATAATTTACACATTTACTTTCTATCGTTTCTTTTATGTTATATTGTTCTTTGTTTGCAACAATGAAGCAACTCGTAAAATTATACCTTTTATGAAAGAAAATAAAAGTTTTTAAAACCTATTAAATTGCAACCAATGTAGACATTTAACGTTAGGTCGTCGAACGTTCTTTTGGGTTGCCCCACTGTTTTAAACACGGAGCAGCGTTTCTGTTTTAGTTAATTTTTATTTCTGTTTTATTTCCTGTTATAAATAGGCAAGAAATCGCCAAATAAGTTTTTTGGATTACCGGACCGTTTAATTTCATCATTTAGGGGCAGAAATATTTTTGAAATTGCTTCTTATATCAAGGAGAATTTTAATGGTAAGCCTTGGCGTTGGCTTGCCACAGGAAACTTTCGATTCGCCTGTACTTTAACAATAATTTTGTATTGTCGTTGCATTTTATTTTTCTGGTTGTCATACGATTGTCTTATACATAAACAGCATGTTTATATGGTTACCGTGATGCTGCAGAACATAATTATCAATTTGTTTAATGTCGTAAATAATGTATATGTATAGATATTTTAGAAGATTACTTTCCTCTGCTATTGTTATTTACGATTTACATGCTATGGAAGAATTGTTTTTGTTACTTGATCTGGGCAAATTTTATTTGAAATGAAAAATAGGAAAGAAAAAACTAATATTTCAGGCCTCTATTTTCTGAAACGTTATTTGGAAATAACCGAAATATCGATTTATTTGAAGTAATAGGTATTTCAAAAAATAAAGTTATTTCGTTAATGGAAATAACAAGTATTTCAAAGATGTTTTTGAGATAACAGTGTTGTCGTTTACCCAAAAAATAATTGTTTATTCGTTTAAATAATTTATTTAACAAAATACGTAACATTTTCGTCTTATTTTTAGCCATGAAACATGGTAGCAAAATTTGTATGGGAACCTGTTGGACATCCTGTACAATGATGTGTATAAATCATTGCCACATCGTGTATTTAAAATTATAAATACATACGATGAATGATGGGTTTGTAAAATATCAATGAAGTAACAATTTCTCATGCTAATTTCTTCTCTTCTTTTAATCATCATCATTTCATCATTTTATTAAAATATATCGAAACACATCGGTTATTTCCAAGAATATTTCGTTATTTCATTATTCTCAATGTTATTTCATCAAATAAGATAAAATTTAGCATTTCAAATAACGTTATTTAAAAAATGTCCCGTCTGTTTTGTACTTGGAAAGCCTGAGTTGGTTTGTCTCTGGAATGCATCCACATACTTTGTTTTTATCGATGCATGACTATCGTTTGCATGGATTCTTAGAAATGTTTTTATTTTTATAGCAGTGTGAAAATAAATAATTATTTTATACGTTTGCCTGCTTTCTTGTGTAGTTTAATTTGTGTATTTTTAAACCTTAACAGACTTATCGAATTTGGCATTGGAGACCGACGTTTCGCCTACTCGAGGTACGGACAAACATAAATCCCCCGGGGACAGAAAGATTGGTCCGGAACATCTGAGACCTTTGCCCGATTCTTTGCTCTTTGACATTAGAAATGTGCAAGCAATGACTGATATTAAGACGCACATCGGATATGCCAGAGCTTGGGTTCGATTGGCATTGGAGAAGAAACTTCTGTCTCGTCATTTGAAAACGCTATTGTCGGACACGACATTGTTAAGGTATAAATTACTTAAAACATATAAATAGAGTAATTTATGTAATTACAGTAGTGTGTAAAAGCTTCCATGCAGAGCTGTTAAACTCTACTTTGAAAGGTATCGTCCTTTCATTAGAAGAAGGCACAGCCTGTTTACATATCCCCACTTTTGCTGCAGTTTAATGATTAGCTGTCACCAATCTTCATCACCGTTTTCGACCAATACCTGTGAGTCAGTGGACAGCAACAGGAGTGGGAATGTAAACATGCTGTGCCTTCTTCTCGTGGAAGAATGGTACTACTTTCTACTTGTTTGCTTTCACGTTGTATTTTATAATTCTTCAGGAGTCAGTATAAACGCTCAGCGTTTCTACGATGCGAAGAGGAGAAGGAGCAATTCTTATATCATCTCTTAACGCTGAATGCCGTCGATTATTTCTGTTTCACTAACAATTACCCAACCACGAAATTGCCATATAGGGTTGTTATATTTCCTAGTCGAAAAGCAAGCGCAGCTACTACTTCAGCAAATAGCTGGATCGCTATTTCAGGCACTCTGTGCGAAACGAATCCAGTTCCTATTCCTAAAGGAGCGTTGGAATTTGTATTTCACGTATGTTTCTATTCACTTGCCATTTTTTTTCAGTATATCAATATTTTCTAATATTCCGAGTCAATATACTTATCCGATACACTCAGAAATAATTAAATACTTGGGTCGACCGCTGTCTTTCTTAGTTAATTATTGACGTTTTATAGTTATAGTTTAATATTCTGTGTTTAACGTAGAATTGTAATTCCCATTTTAGCACAAGAATTTGGGCGTGCTCTCTACATTACGCATAGGTCATGACAATACAGGTCTTTCCCCTAAATGGATGGTGGAACACGTAGTAGTTAGAAACGAGGTTACAGGGCATACGTTTAAATTTCCCTGTGGTAGGTGGCTTGGCAGAGGTATCGATGACGGTTCTACCGAGAGATTATTAGTGGGGGCCTTAGTGCCTCGCAGTATCGATAGTGAGGAGTTAGTCGAATCGTGTTCAACTCCACCGAGGTGTAGGTCACCTAGTATACCTAGACGCCCCATATTGTCTCAAGTTGAACTACAACACATGTTAGGTAAACGCTAGTGAAATATTTTGTTCTAACGTAACGTAAAAACTGCAGGAATACAATTGTGGACTATTTGGTTTCGTAGGAGAAGCTGTAAACGCAATTGTAAAATTCCACTACAGAAGGGAATGCCAAGATGGTTCCTTGACAGCTTTACTTTGCGGAGAAGGTGGCCTCGTGCCATCGTTGGAACAAATATTTCTATTCGGTTTCAAAAATCAGAGGATATTTGGGAGAAACTTTTATGTTTGGGACTACCTTTGTAAGTAACTGCTTATAAATCTTCAATTGTGTTTGGTATTCCGCTTATTCCGCTGTGTTCTTTTCAGTGCGCATAAAGGAAAATTTTGAAATTTCTTTATTGGAGGAGATGGACGAATATTCGCAAAGGTTAAACAGAGGTAGACGAGCTCACATAGAGAGTAATCAAAGGTTTACGACATTAAGATGTTACTGTCACCTTATCGATCAGATTAATATGTTCAGTCAAACCCTTGGTAAAGATGGAAAGTTCCAGTTGTTCATTTGCTTGGCAGCGAGGTAAAGTGTAATGTTATGCTTTATTTAGTTGGTTGCATGTTTGTCTGACTAGTTAATTTACGATTTAGGGAGCAGCTTCTTCATTCGATGTTACGGCCAATGAGCGAGGCCCGCTCGACCGCCGACATGTACGAAGAAACATCATTTCTAAGGAATCCTACGTTATTAAATTTTCTCGTCCATATTCTTGAACCATTGTGCGAGTTCCACATCGTCCTTGAAAAGAGTTTGACTCATGGAATTTCTAGTATATGTTAATTTATTGAAAGACATTCCGCTTAATTAGGTAAGAACAATTGCTAGTTACTGTTATTTCTTTAAAATTGCAATTTTCAAATATTCTTTTATATTTCTTGTTTTGTCAGGATATGTTACGAAATTCTAAATAATACGAAGAGAAGAAAGACATGTGTTATATTGGAGGTATGAGGAACTTTCTAAAACCTATTATTAAGAAACTAAGAGGAATTTAATAATGCAAATGAAGACTGTTACGGAACTGTAAAATAGTCGTTCTTAGGTGACAAATTATTTGACGAAAAATTAATACATGAGTGATAATGAAAACATAGATCTTGCCCCGTTTCAAAAGCTTATGATATTAATGACGATGACAAAAGTCAAATACAAAGATAAATCTAATTTGGCCAATCTTGCCATAGATATTAGTAGAAAGCAAACAAAGTTTGTTGAAACCGACGAATCGTGTACCAAAGATGTGATCCTATTAGTTATTACTATTAGTGTTATTAATATTATCAGTACTAAGGGTTTAGTTTTTTTACGGTCTTTGTCGTAAGCAGAAAATTTCAGAACCATGCAAACAACGTATATCACGGTAATTGATAAGTTAGGCGGAACAAATGTGGTTTGTATATGTTCTATTATCAATTATTTTAATCGAAGGTAAGAACGGAGAATAAAATATCGGCAACAAAAGAAAAAACTAGGATGGGAAAGATTTACATGTTGTTATTTTCGAATCTTAAGCAATTTTATGCGTTACATTGTATTCAAGTAATTATGGAATGAAATTTTAATTATCAATAACCTCTCTCCTCGATTTCAATACGTTCTTTATTTACATTTGTGAACAAACGCTTACAGCGATGCGTAATACTCCTTTTTACAAAATTGTGTGTAATAATACGAAATGTTTTTTTATTTTCATCGGTTAATCGATCAAAATTATAACCAATTCCGCGTAAACTGTTCCCATGAGTGTATTTGTGATTTTTTTTTATTAAATTTGAAAGTCTAATCGGTGTATTATAGTATTGAAAAAAATGGACCAAATAACTTAATCATTTACTACGACTCTCGAAGCATGGCAGTTTGTTTCTAATCTGCAAGGTACATAACGTTGGTACCGATTGTCTTTCGAAGTTTTAATGTACTTGATGATAATCGGTGTAGCCTGATAACATTACCGACGTTGTTGAAAAAATAGCTATCAAAGTACAATTTCTAGCATTTCACAAATATACAATAACGGCATCCCGTAGATAGGAATCATTCTGTCGTATTATTAACCCGTGTATTATTGCTCGCCCTTAGCGCGGTACGCGTGAATAATTTGATAAAATTTTCGTCTTTAAATACGTAGTAAAACCTGTAGAATTTTCGATTAAAACGAGTTAGCTGTAAAATCCTGAAAAATGTTTCAACCGAAACGGAAATATTTTAATTGGAAGTCCTCGTTACTTTGTATCGATCGAAATTATGTTCGAGTAAAGATTAAAGAATGGAAATTATTTTAAATTATGGAAATACTTCACGCATGCCCAACCGTGTATATTCATTGTATTCGTACCAGCCAACAAAGACTTCATCGCGAGTCGTGTACGCATTCGTGAATGTAAAACTTTGATTTTGGTTTCTGTTAACACATTGCTCGCCAGGGATATCGCTCGGTTCAATTTTTTTAAACATAAAATACCATATGTAATTATTAGTGTTTGTAGAAACAAAGCGTAGAAACTTCTATCGTCGAACGTACACTTTGTTAACTTATACGATGTAGAAGTTTTGTATACTTCGTGTGATTCATGTACCATGAATTCTCGAATGTCTCATTAAATGAACCGTAGTTGGAAAGCATTGTGTTAACGTAGGAACATATAAGCGAATAAGAAAAGGAGCGTCATCGTACGCGATATAAGTTGTTGTTTTATTAATGCCCGGTGTTTAGGTTGAAAGTTCAGTTGTTAAATAATTGCGTTGCTGCATAATGTTAGCAAAGGTAATATACCAAAATACTCGCATAACGATCTGGTCAGGTTCTTTTTTCTAGATTTTCTAGAAAGAAGAGAAACTCTGTTTTCTATCATTTTTTAAAGCAGATTATTGTGTATTTTACTGTTTTAACAATAATCGCCTCTTCGGTAAAAAAAAACAACGCGAAATATGTTATATTTTAGGTAATTATAAAGTGTGCATTGTGATCGATTTAGACTGAAGGATAAGTTATTTTTCGTCGCATTTTACTTTTTGTTTTATATTTTACGTGTGTCTCGTGTTGCCATGTAGAAGCTATCGCGCAATTTTCTTGGAATGATTTTTTAACCAATTTTGCGGAAATTTCAAGTATGACAAAATCAAGGTATTCATACTAATTTGTTTTCGGACGTAATAAGATTTTAATATGTTGAAAATAAATTGGTAATATCATTCTTTCGTAAATGTTGACACCAGAAGGATTTAAGAACATGAATCTTTTCAAGTCATAAATGCTTCTGCATGACCTCGACGTGTACCAACTTCATAATACTCAATTCAATAGTTTGTATGTAAGCTTTTGTTGAAGATTCGAAGGGTCATCTCCATTTGATCATAATTAATGCTCGATTGTTCCTCATTGAGAAGAATCGTCGCTCTACCAAATTTGTACATACGTGAGATATTACAAAGCTTGATGTAACGTATAGAATCTTTTACAAGACAAATGTCGCATAACGTAACTGTATATATTCGAATCGCGTAAAACAAGATACTATAATATTGTACAGTAGAATAAAATATTATCAAATAAAAGAGTTTCATTCATGTTTTACTGTGACGTTTTGTAACCATATTATCGTATTAACGATCGTGTAAATGTCTTATGTATCATTTTTCCACGAGAAGAAGGCACAATCTGTTTACATCCCCACTCCTGTTGCAGTCCGCTGAGTCACAGGTATTGGTCGAAAACGATGACGAAGATCGGTGACAGCCAATCACCGGACTGCAGCAAGAGTGGGGATGTAAATACACTGTGCCCTCTTTTCGTGGAAGAATGGTACGATTTTAATGTCTTTACCATATTTACAGAATAATTTGAGTTTCTTATTGATTTTAATTCCAGGTTTTGTTTTACTATGTTCATAGGAAAATGACAGTGGTACAACATAAACATGATTTTAACAATAATATGTCCAAGCTGTCGCTACTTATAATTTTACTTCTTTACTGCTACTGTTAATGCTACTGGTAGTACACTTTTAAATAACTGCTTCTTTTACTTCTTGTGTCCATTCCTCCATCGCAGCATTAAATCATTTCCTTAAGTTAGCACATGCTTCCTTGGTAAAATAAAAATGAGTAAAGAATTTATGCACAGGGGGCTCCAGACACGGGGATGAAAGTGCCCATTGAGTAGGTGTTGGACCAAAGGAAAAAGAATGGTTGGAAGAAGTTCAGGAAGGGGAGGAAAAAAGGCAGGGAATATTTCAGGACATTTTGGGTCAGTAGTAAGAGGGAGAGGTTTAAGCCGTGGTTTGAAAAGTTAAGAGGGGTGAATAAGGGTGTGATTAGGCTGGTCTCAGGCTAAGGGCAAATCATTATAATCTAAGAGAGTCATTGACAAGGAAAGGGATGATTAGAGATGGAAGGTGTGAGTGTGGGCAGGGGGAGGAGAATGTGGAGCATGTAATGTTTCAGTGTGGTTTATATAACCTGGAGGGAGAGATGCAAGGGAGGTTGAGGAAGGAAATAGCGAAGGTAAGGGAAGACGTGGTAGGGTTGTTGGCGATGAATAGGACCAGGGTATATGTATAGGGTAATGAAGGGTTTTTTGATAAGATAGGGAAGGATTTGTGAAGAAAGAAAAGGAGATGGATGCTGGAGTCGGGTCGCGATAAGCCGGGAAAGTTAGGAGGAAGAGAAGGGAGAGGAGGGAGAGGAGGATGTTCCTAATGGGGTAGTGATAATTAGTAATTAAGACTAGAGATTAAGTTGTGTTATTTTAGTTTTATTTTCTTTTGTATTAGGTTAATGTTAACTTTAATTTTAGTTGTAAGCGACTGCTGGAAGCGAGGTTAGGGTTACGGGAGAGTTAAGAAGGGAAAAGGAGAAGATGAGGGGGAGGAGGAGTTAAAAGAGTAGAAAGGAGTGGAATAACTGGAGTAAGGAACAAGAGACAGGTGGAAGTAGAAAATAGAGGATTTAGAAAGTAGATGATAAATGGTGTTATTAGAAAGCCGATAATGCTAGTATCGCACCCAAAAAATATAGGAAAGAAAAAAAGGAAGAAAGTAAAGAATTATTATTACATTTAAAACTTTTGTGGAAATCCCAGTTCTTGGAAATGACGTCACGATGTCAGGAATTCCCTATTTTCGTGCCACCTCTTCGGACATAATATTCTCCTGATTCTACCCTGATCTCAGTTTCATGTCAGAGTGAGAATAAATCGACACAGGTATTTCGAATACATTTATTTATCGTCTTTCACATAATAACACTGCATATCAATAATTTCGAATTATTGATGTGCACTTTGCTACGAGCGGTACCAGCGGAGATACGAGGAAACACCTACCACTTATCTGCTCAGAAGATGCATCATTTGACCACAGACGAGATATATGAATAGACCTTTCACCTACAGTGCGTTACAGCCAAACTCGTACACCACATATGAAAATATGTATCATTCGAAAAAAGAAGTTTAGGAATGATTTAGAAAAAAAATAAGGCAGATATATTATTGTAAATATATCAGTATTTATTGTGTAATAATGGCAAAAGAAATGAATATTGCTTAACATAAAAAAAATGAAGTTACTATACAGGGTGTTCGGCCACCTCTAGCAAAAATTTTAATGAGCGATAGTAGAGGCCAAAATAAGACGAAAATCAAGAATACTAATTTGTTGATGGAAGCTTCGTTAAAAAGTTATTAACAATTAAATTCAAAAATTTCAAATCGTTCTGGAAAAATTATTTTCGGTTGCGGGGGTCAACTACAATCATTTTTGGTGAGTAGACATACCTCCGAAATCCTATCTACTTTCGAGAAAAAAAATCGAGTAGGTGCTGAAATTTTTCGGCGAAAAAAAATTTTTCAAATCGTTCTAAAAAAATTATTTTCGGTTGCGGGGATCAATTACAATCATTTTTTATCATTACACATACCTCCGAAATTGTACGCACTTTCGAGATAAAAATTCCTTACTGAAAATCCAATTAGGTGCCTAAATTTTTCAACGGAGAAAAAAAATTGCAAATCGTTGTGGAAAAATTATTTTCGGTTGCGGGGGTCAATTGCAATCAGTTTTTGTCATTAGACATACCCACGAAATCCTGCCCACTTTCGAGAAAAAAAATAGAGAATGTGTGAAATTATTCGAGAAAATTAAAAAATTGCAAATCATTGTGGAAAAATTATTTTCGGTTGTAGGGTTCAATTACAGTCATTTTTGGTGAACAGACATACCCCCGAAATCGTGCGCATTTTCGAGAAAAAAATTCAGTAAGGGCGGCACTTTAAACGTTAATAACTTTTTAACGAAGCTTCCATCAACAAATTGGTATTCTTGATTTTCGTCTTATTTTGGCCTCTACTATCGCTCATTAAAATTTTTGCTAGAGGTGGCCGAACACCCTGTATACGTTGCAGAAAACATTTCACAGCTAAAATCGTACACATTAAGAATATTGTTTTCTATTTAAACTAAATTAATGTTTTATATTTAATCTAAATTAAAAATTAGTACTTTGTAGGATATCCTCGGCTGCATTCTACGGCATGTAACCATTTCGGCATTGCTTTTATTAGGTTTTGTGTAAAATCGGATTCAATTTTTCTCCATTCTTCTTGTAATGCCTTTTATAAATCATTTTTATTAGAAATCGTATGTTTTCTAATCCTTACTTCTAATTCATGCGAAATATTCTCAATTACGTTTAGATCGGGTGATTGGGGAGGTGTATTGATAACTTTCGGGCAGTTATATAATTGCCACATTTTGACAATATGCGACGTATGTTTTGGGTCATTACCACTATAAAATTTAAAACAATTCAAAATTCCTAATTTTTCGGCCCTGCTTTTTAAATTCTTTTTTAAAATATTCAAATAATCAACTTTGTCCATGTTCCCTTCAATAAATTATAAATTTCCTGTTCCAGTAGCTGATATACACCCCCAAACCATCACTGGCCCACCTCCATGTTTTATAGTAGGATTCATATTTTTTATTTTAAATTCTTCATTAGGTTTATGCCATACAGTAACTTTGCCATCCGAATGAAGAAGATTAAATTTGCTTTCGTCGGTAAAAATAACTTCTTTCCAAAAACTAAAATCCTTATTTAGATACTGTCTTGCAAACTGTCCTTTTCTTATTTTTATCGCTGACAAATGATTTATTTCTTGCGGCACGCCCATAAAAATCATTTTTTCTTAGTACTCTTCTTACAATTTTTGGATTAACAGATATTTGCAAATATTTTTCCACCTCGTTCGACAATTTAGGTGCACTCAGCTTTGGATTTTCTTTGATTTTTCTAATTATCCATTACTCATCGTATGCATTAAATTTTTTGTTCGGTGCTGTTCTTAATTTATTTGTAATTCTATTTTCTCAACTATAGCGTTTAATAATGTATTGAACAGTGCTAATACTTCTACCAATAATTTTTGCAATTTCTCGATAGCTTTTCCCATTTTGAAAGTTCTTTACAATTTCTCGGACCTCTAGTGTCGTCTGCTTCATTTTTACTATTATTACGATTTATTTTCTTACTTCGATGCAATACCACGTTTACTAACAAGCTAAAACGATGTGATCTTCTTCTGTTTAACGTTCTTCCTTTCTTTTCGGGGATTCCTGGAGAGGAATACCAGATAGGGAAATAGCGTACGATTTTAGCTGTGAGATGTTTTCTGCACCGTATTATAGTAACTTTATTTTTTTTATGTTAAACAATATTCATTTCTTTTGTCGTTACTACACAATAAATACAGATATATTTACAATATATGTTTGCTTTATTTTTTTTTTTCCAAATCATTCGTAAATTTCTTTTTTCGAATGAAACATATTTTCATATGTGGTGTACGATTTTAACTGTGACTTTCTGTAATGTATTTTTTCGGTCCATTTTTATGGAACTCTAGAGCCCCATTACCATTTTCGTGTCACTCGCAACATTACCAACAGGTTATACAAATTAACATAAGAGGAAGCGAGACAGAAAATGAAATTACACAACATTCTTGGCCACACATTATATTTTCAGTAAGGAATATTTTTCCTCAAAAAGGTTAGGATTTCGAGGGTATGTCTATTGACCAAAAATGGTTGTAATTGACCCCTGCAATCGAAAATAAGTTTTCTAGAATGATTTGAAATTTTTCAATTTCGTCGAAAAATTTAGGCACCTACCCCATGTCGATTTTCCACAAAAATTCGTTTTTGAGTTTTAGTAACTTTGTTTGGTGTCCTACAGAAAAGTTGTCTAATACATTTTTGTAGGTACCCATGAATTCTACTTCAGAAAAAAGTTTCATTGAAACATATTCACTATTGTAGGTGTTATGGTCGTTTAAAAATTGCGTTTTTTAATCCGTTATACATATAGTCAACTCACATGTATTTACGCACACACTACAACTGCTGCCCATAAATGCTAATTCAGTGAATAGTTTCTCAACTAACCGCCATCCATGAGAAGAGGTCGCCAAAATCACCTTAGAATTTTCAGGTCGGTATGGCAGTCAGATTGGGTCACGAAAGCATAGACGAGGTATACGAGTAGACCAACGTCGTGACCATGGAAACCACTAGCCCTCGTGAATCAAAACAATCATTCAGTAGGTTCTATGGTGTATCATTGACAGTAATTCGTCAATTTTAATCCGTCGAAGCGGATGGGCATTGTTAGACAATGGACGTCAAGGATAGCAGCGACGAAGATGAGACGCACAATATTTCGGCGTTTACGAAGTTTGACGAGAGCATCGACGTTCGTAACGCCGAGGAGATCCAAAGTCCAGTCAGTCATAGACCACCAAGCTCGAGAAGACTAAGACCAACCCCAAAAAACGAGAGTCCAACCTCTATGGGGATAAATTCGCCGCGCACGAAATTAAATTTCCAAAGGTAGTATGGTACTTGAAATATCGATTGAATAATTGTCAGATGTTTGGATCGAATCATAATATTACGAAAAGATAGATACAACGCTAGTGAAAAGTTTCCATTTTGAGCTAATCTGAAATGAAGTATGATGTCATATCCAGTTTGACATAGGACAGTGAAGAATTTAAACCAAGCAACTTACATCATGACTCCGGAGCGTTTTGAAGCCTTTGCAAATAACCATCTTCATTAGTGTTTTCTAACAAAGGTCACCGTTTTTCAGATATTCAGACAATGACAATACCTTTGGTAAATCGCTGGGAATCACCAGCGATCCGTCTGACAGCGAAGAAAGCGACGACGACGACATACAGGGGACGAATAACGCGCAACCGATCGAAATGTACAATCCTAAGGACTTCGAGGACTTGGATGTATCTATGGAAGTGAAGGAACTATTTCAAAATATACTAAGGTACAAGTAGCGGGTTTGATTTAAAATAAAATGAAAATTACAAAAGATTCAATTTATGAATCACGTTTGGGGCTCGTTTTAATAATCATTACTATAATTACCAAATTTTCAAACGCGCAACCAGGCATTGCAAAACTAAAGTTTCGACTACAAAACAGATACACGCCGCAGAAGATCGAGCTAAACTACAAACTGATACCGTTCATCCCCGACTACATACCGGCGGTCGGCGACATAGACGCGTTCATAAAGATTTCTCGACCGGATGCAGTGGAGGACAAAATCGGTTTGACCGTCCTGGACGAGCCGTGTACCAATCAATCCGATCCGGCGGTGTTGCACTTGCAATTACGTAGCCATTTGAGAAGCGCGGGCGCAGCCAGGCAGACGGTGGTGAAACGGATCGAAGACGCCGAAAAGAACGTCAAGTCCATCGACAAGTGGATCGATGACATAAATCAGCTTCATAGGAGCAAGCATCCGCCGGCTGTTAATCTGACGAAACCCATGCCCGACATCGACGCTTTGCTTCAACAATGGCCGCCCGAAGTCGAAGAAAAGCTGAACGAAATGGAGTTGGACTTCGCGAAACTGGACTGCGACCTACCGGGTCTCGTCGATATCGTTTGCAACCTTCTCGATATTCCCGCGGAAGAAGGCTCGAGAATGGAGGCGCTTCACACGCTTTTCACTCTCTACTTGGAGGTACGCAATGCCAGAGCTCAGAAGTATTGAGTCCCTAGGGTCTAGAATTTACAAGAAGATGGTCGCCAAATACGAGTCACAAAATTATTGGCACGAGTGTGAACATAGAAGAACGTACCAATAAGTGACCTAACCCAGACAAATTGTGTCAGAATTATCTATAATTTGTTGCTCTTTATTGTAATTAAGTAAAAGTTATTAAACTGACTTTGCAACTTCCTTTTTCGCGTCAGCTTGTTATTCTACCTTTATTGTTAATTTTTTGTAATCAAAGTAGCTAAGTCAGTCCATGATATGTCGAGTAACGATGGACGCACGATGCATTTACCATGAGACAGTATGCTTACCGACGTATCGTCAGCAAACTGTACTGAGGGCGTGACCGACGAAATCCGAACCTCGAAGTGAGGGTAATGTGGCATATTGAAGAAAACTCTTTTACTAGCTCAAGTACAATCGTTACAGTGGGACGTGTAAGCAGTTCCACTGTTTGGAACATTTTAAAAGAAAGGCACGAAATAGAAGAGAAAATTTCTGTAGATGAATGTTACGAAAAATTGGAAAAGATAAAGATTTCATACAAATATACTATGACGACACTTCCCGCACTCGTCGCCAGAGGGCTACGCTCAACCTGTATCTCTCACAAGTACTCGACCGACTACCTATTTCTATAGTATATACATGTTTCAATCAATTATTAAACGTCCTGACATCTAAGACAGCGACTGCTAGAATCGCCTCCTTGGTTTTTGAGCTCTCTAGCCTGGCCCAGATCGCCAACTTGGTATTAACAAAAATGTGGTTTGGACGGGTACTGTGTGTTGACAATATAAGATCACATATTATAAAATTCTTGCAAACTGGTTTGTCAAACCTTATAGAAGATGAAATCGTTACATCTACGAAGAAAACGTTACATATGGTATCTGCAAAAGAGAGACAGACGATGCACCATCACATTGTATCTTTATTGCTTTTTGAGAAAACAGTTTCTATCACTTTATTTGGACCATATGGTACGGAACAAGAGCTTCCAGAATGTTTTCCTTAGAGTGAACCGTATATCCAAAGTCCTCCCGTTTGTGCATATAAATACAATATAAATAATTATACACGTTTAATAATAGTCGTACGGCACGAGAATAATTAGCTGGCGAGGTTGCTGAATACGCAGCATTGAATAGCTTTTACATATTTCGACGAGTTGAGCGACCGAAAGAACGAGACAAGATAACTGCGACGCGCGGGACAACGTGTGTTCGTCGAGTTGTTTTCTTTTCGAATCGCGTCGTCGGTCTCGAGACATCGAGAACACGCGTCATCTGTTTTCTTCGGAAACGATCCGCGGATCAAAGCGTCGCGAGCCCGTGCGACACCGCCGTTCGTCGTTTTTCACTTCGCGAGAAGCGTTCGCGCGTGAAATTCGAGTAGCCCTGGCGACGCTAAGCAATGCAAATAAACTTGGAATACGAGCGGAGTCATGCTAATTCAATTATAGGATAATTTTTTGAAAAGTACCGATGGTCGATCGGCGCCAAATTTGGCAAGGACCAACGAGGCGCCAAATATAAAATTTTAGCCACGCGCGTACGTTAATTTTTGTTAACCATACTCGAGTACACGGGGCAGCCACTGCACAAATATTATTCCAACGAGAAGATGCAAATATTCTAGGCGCGAAGCGTCTCGGGTTTGTTTATCTAGAAGCAACGTAATCGTGAAAACACGAATGCAAGTAACATTCGTTCGATTGACAACTTTTACGAGCACACGTGGAGGAGCAACACGACCTACGCTACACCTACGCTATAGTCTACTATCGTCGAAGCGGTCCTCCGCCTTTTAAGGTGTAACGACATAATTGTTTCACGGGCCGCCGATCATCGCGACACATTTTATCGTGAACGCACGATGACACCGGGCAAAGTATACGTTTGGTCATCGGAAAAGTGACGTCACTTAACCCCTCTTACGCTCGATTAAACTGCTACTAAGCAGAAGCGAACCCTGCTTTGCCCGGTCGTCGTAAAGTTTGACGATTTACACGGAAGGCCTGACGTCATCGCACCTCCGTATTTTCACTTTCATCGCGTCATACGCAACATTTCCGTGGACACACGGTGCTACGGATCGCTGGAAACGCGGTAATAAATTTAATTTTTTACTTTCGCCCTAGGGATCCGAAAAGTTTAACAGTTTCTAAATTCTCGCGTATCTATGTAAACGAAATTGTGAAACTTTTGTCCAATCCTTGTACGTTCCTTGCATTACTGACAAAGTTCTATCACAAACATTTTGATTCCCATTCCAAATTGCTTTTTTTAGACATTGAGCCTTCTTCAGATTTTTACAATTTTTCTTAATTGTTATGACAGCTTTCTGTATGGAGAAAATGAATAAGATAGCAGTTTCATCTTGAGTCTATTAATGGACTCATCTGTGAGTACTTGTGAGAGAGCGTGTCCCTCTGCCGACAAGTGCGGAAAGCGTCGCCATATTGTCTATCGTTTTGTGTTTACGTAGTTTCCTTTGGTATATCATAATTTATTTGATAATCCTCATACAATATGGACTATTATTTATTAAAAATAAATTTTGCTTCAACTTTTACTTACAAACCTACAGTTTTACTTTCGATAGGATATAACGATAGCATTTTACGTTTAGAGAAGGACACAATATTCTGAAGTAATTTTGAAATAAATCGTAAGATTACAATTTATCGAAGGTTCGAAGCTTCGAAGTCAGGAAGCACGCTTGATTCGTTTGGATTGTAACCGTCAGCCTGCGTTGATAGCCGTTAGCGCGGTAAAAACAATTTGGGACGAGACGACCTTTCGCGACGATCGCTCGCCCGAGCCGAAACTGTTGCGACGTTAACGATCTTCGAGCCAGTAAGAATCGAATTTTCGAGCGATCGCGATCGGTATTCCGGATTCTTAAATTAGTCGTCGTCCCGACATTCGTCTTTGCTCGCGCCAGTGCATATCGTTTCCATGCTCGATAGCCCGAGAATACCGAAAATACACAGTTTGACGTAAAACGGGAGTTCCAATGTAAACAAGCAAAATCGACCTTAGATTTGTTTCTTTTTTCTATTTGCACAATCCGTATGCGGTATCCCGGAGCTCTAGGCATCGTTGCTTCTTCGGTTTTGCATCTGGTGCTGAGAATTCGTTGCACGATTAACGGCGAAGCCAGCGGGAGATCCGATTCCACGTTTAAATGAGCCGAAGGGCAGTTCTAGGAAGAGCTGCACTTTCGTTCAATACGGCCGATGGCATACTCGATATAGATCAAATCATGGAAACGGATCCGTGGAAGCATATCGACGATTTCGTGCAACAAAATTTCATGCAAGACATCCTGAATCAATTCGACGAACGAATGAAGCTCGAGCCGAAACCCGTTCCGGCAGGTAAGCAGAATAATATTTATTCGTAGTTGAGCTTTTCTATTTATCGACGATTGACGGTAGAAGCGAAGAAGCCGAGAAAGAGTCCCGATACACGATCGAACCGAACGAATCGAGAGAATCTGTCGAACAAGACGAATTCGCCGATGGCCAACAACGAAAATTCAGCGAGAAGCGGAGGAACGCTGCCGGAAACGCGCAAGCAAGCCTTCGGGCTTCGAGGCAAACGGGTCAACGATACGGAAACGAAGGAGAAAAAACGAAACTCCGTTCCGAAGAAACAGAGGCTCGTAAGACGTCGTAGAACCGTAACGTCCAAGAAATCGCAACAGCTCGAAAATGTTACGAAATCGAGCGTCGAAGAAGACTTTACCGCAAAACGATCGACGAAGAAGAGAACCGAGAACGAAAACGTTGCGGACATGTCTATTTGCAAAACTGAATGCGCGAATCCGATGGAAATAGCAACCGAAAACGTCGAGATAGACGGAAACGTAACATCGAAACATCAAACGACGATAGAAACGTTGAAGAACGCGAGTTCTTGCTCGACCTTTAAGGCGAGCACGCCCGAGAGATTCGTCGACGCTGTGTCCAACAACAGCACCGAGCCATTCGAATTTCCTATAACAAAGAAACCGAACGTCGACCAGAGCAGATCGCTACACAAAGAGCACAGGAAAAAGGAAACCTCCGCGAAATGCAAATGCGATACCACGGTGGAGCTAAAGAACTGCGTCGAAAAACGTGAAGGAGAGAAAGTAAAGGAGGTAGTAAAGAAGGAGAGTGGCCAGAAAAATGGAAAGAAGCGATCGAATAAGAGCGAAAAAGTGTCGAAACGTAAAAAACATAACGGAAAAACAGAGACAACGGGTAAGCAGACCGTTATCTATGAGACGTGACAATAGAGTTCTGAGAATCGTTCGATGAAAGATTTTTATTTTGGAAATTAAAGTAAATTTTTAAAGTGGGGATTGTAAATTGGTATTTCTTGGAATCTTGGAATTTTAGGAACCGATTGAAAATTTATTCTTTGGAAACTAAGGCCTCCCGAATGGCGGAGCCCGGTTAACTGTTAACTTCTTTACTACTGACAACGAAAGCAAAATTATTTTCGAAACTTTATTGTTGCGCCTACTATTTCCACGATCGTATAATCGTGTTTGAATTGTACCATTGACGTTGGTACGTAACGTTTCTATTTACTTACTTCGTAGATGGGAAACAGATAGGTAAGTTTGAGAAACGTCTGCTCAAAAAAGAAAAGAAACGACGGGACAGACAAATATACCGAGAGGAAAGGAAAGCCCAACGAGCTATTGAAAAATTCAGTCATCACGTGACGAACATCGCGGAAAAAATGGGTTATTTACAAAGTACGTATCCCGTAAAAAATCTCGTTCTTGTAACAAATCACGGGGGAATAAAAAGTTGTTTATGTGACCACAGTGGGCAAATCGGTGGCATGCTGATTTTAGAGTTACGATATACATTTGAACGCTTACTTTTTCAACATTCAACGTGTATATATACGTGTATATATTGAATGATATTCTAATTATACCGATATAATGTTGAGACTCACTCCTTGATATACGTACCATATTTCAGTGATCGAATATTTTTCTAATTCGAAATAAAATACCTTGAATATATTTCATACTAGTTTTTGCCCGCGGCTTCGCTCGCACAGGAAACCGTTTAGTTCCCTCGGAAATTGATATTGTTTCTCCATAAAACCTTTTAAGCCCCCATTCACCTCTATAGAGTTTTAATTTTATATCATGTCGCCATCTTAGATTTCAAAATTGATACCATTTTCGTAATTAACGTTTCAAAAAACCTTCATAACGACACCCATACGGAAATAAGGCAACTTTAAAGATAAATAAGTATATCAATGAGCATTCAGACCAAGTATGAAGCAATACGACAATGAACAAAATATGCCCCATACAAACGTTGCAACCCCCTTTCACCCTTCTAGGGGTAGAATTTTTTAAAATGCCAAAACAGGTGTTTGATTAATTATGTCAAAGAGCATTAAGACCAAGTTTCAAGTAAATCCGATCACAAATAAAATATTCCTCATACAAACGTTGCAACCCCTTTCCACCCCCTTAGGGGTTTAATTTCGGAATATCCTTTCTTATTCCTTGTATACATCATAAAGGAAACCTCTGTGCAAAACTTCAGCTTTTTATGTCCAAGGGCTTAGCCTGGTCGTTGATGAGTCAGTGAGTCAAGCCTTTCATTTTATATAGAAATTGTATATAGAAGTTGTATATAGAAGATATATATTGGTATTGGTTTTACTAATTTTACCCTAAACCTAGAAAAATATTTGTTTTTTTATCCATTCCTCATACATTTTCATAGTGTAGTGAATGATACCAAATGTATGTTTAATATCATTGCCCTGATAATATATGAACGTATCCATACTTGTTCTACAATTAAAATTATTTTCCAAAACGTTTAAATAACGCAACCTGTCCATGTTTTCATCGATAAAGTATTTGTCAAAGATTTTTAATTTTATTCTTCGCACTGTGCGTTGGCCATCCGAAACAGTGAAATTAATCATTCACTTTATACGCGTAGATGACGCGTTTCCAGAAAGAACAATCTTTGTTCGAGCAATTTCGCGGGAATTCTATTCTGAATGTCTTATTTTTATTGCTAACATACGGTTTTTCTGGGTTACTCGACTGTGTAAATTATTCTTTTTTAAAACACGGCTCAAATTCCCAGAGTGAACACTTTTATTTAAGTATGTTTTTACTTTTACAGTAAGTTTTACTTGGGACCTGTTTGTATTCGATGTAAAATTCATCTTTCATTGTATTAAAATTTCTTTTTTCTTCCAGAATGTCGTTCGAATACGCGCGCCAGCAAGACCAATGATTCTTCCGATTTCTCTGAAGAGTCCTCGTACACGAGTTCCAGCTACGACAGCTCCACTTCCTGTTCCTGTTCCTGTTCCAGTTCCTCCTGCTCTTGCACCTCCTGCTCCTGTTCCTATGACCTCTCCGATTGCTCCTTTTCCGACAACTCGTACGGAACCGACGAGTACTCTGAATACACATTATGTTCCTGTTCGGGATGCGACAGCTCTTGTTCCAGCGGATGATGGTGTCGTCCCGTTGCCATTGCTCGAATCGCATTTTTAAAAACGATACTCGCAACATAATGTGTATGTACACTGCCGTGCATAACACCGCGCGTTAACCTTCGTGTTATCGCATAGTTTTTATACGTAGACTACGAGAAATTATTTATTTACATATGTACGAATAAAAGATTATACGAATAAAGAAATTCCTATACAATGCCCCATAAAACATTCGCTAATAAATGATACCAAAACACGCTGACGTTACGTGCTAGTAGTAAGTCGAAAACATAGAAAAATATTGTTCGAGTATTATTAGATCATTAAATTTTGATTCGTTCATTGGGAAATATTTCATCGAGTAATTGAAATTTTTATTTTTATGTAACGAATCGGGGATAACCACTTGTTTATCTTCTGCTCGTTATTCGATATTTTTATTTAGATAAGGATTTTGCTCGAATCTGGCTTCCACAATGCATGTTTTCTTCGCAGTATGTATCTCCAGGAGTTCGTAAACAAACCGAGATCGTGTAAATCGAACGCGTAATATATTAGTGTAAAAACAGCCAATCTTGAAATGCTGTATGCTTGTGAAACCGTTTTAACTGCATCTTGCAGTCTATAAGAATAAACTATCTTGATTCTAACTACGCATTGAAATGTGTGGCCAAAATGTAGCCAAACAAGCAACTCATCATCTGTGTTCAGTTAAAAAAAGAATTTTATTAATTTGTGTAAGGAACGTTAAAAAATAGCAAAACGAATTACATTAAAATTACATTAAATATTGTTTACAATGCATCAGTGAACCTTTAAAACAAAAGTGAATAAATCAACCATCAATGGTTCCACATATTCGATTGTTACAATTGTGCACAAGGTTTGAATGAAACTGTTCAAATTTTCAAACAGTTCCGACATAGCAGTTAATTTTTCACGTTCACTAAATAACCTTTGTTTATAAAAATGTACAGTTTCGTTCAAGCTCTGATTGCATACAAAAAAGTACTCTGATCGTCCTAGATAGAATCGAATCGAATAGAGAAATCAGAGACAAACCTAAACGCATCAATTTTATCAACTACAGGCGTTTAGTCAAACGCTCGCGACGCCCGATGTATGCAATTTTTATAACGAATCAAAACGAAACGAAACGAAATAGTTTCAGGACACATCGCATTACTTACATCGAAACGGTTTTCTCTATTTATATCATCGATATTGCTGTCGTTGCACTGGTATGTATGATCCATCCCTATGGACGTTGTATACTTGACATACATTTTAAAAATACTTTCTGGTATAAACTAAATTCCACGTCGGGGTAAACGCGTTATTTGGCTATCGCGGGCGAGAGTGAGGGCGCGTGCCTCATCGATTCGATCGAATATTGCTTCCCTCTAAACGCTACTGTGACGGATGAGATTACACGAAATCGAGCACTTACTATAGATTTTGATAAAATCTATACTCCGAAAAGATTTACACTTGCACCGTATTTTGCATTGGAACACTTGCAGTATCGTTGTCGCGAAACAGTGAGTGTAAACAAACTCGCGTGTCCTGACTTTAGAAACAGAAACATAAAAATGGTAGTCGACGATAAGAATGAAACTCATCACAGCCATTGCAATTGCTGGAAGAAATCACGTACGTACAGAAATAGAAAATTTAAATGTCAAATATGTTCGTAAAGAATGAACTTATTAACCACTTATTTCCGTTTTAGATTCCCCAGAAAAAGTTGGAGTAAAATCGATGACCCCACGGACGTGACATCTCCTTGTAGACGACGTTTGATTCGCAAAAGGTTGGCGATAAAATATTTACAGAAACGAATGACGTGGTTTGCGGACGAAGAGCAGATTCAAGCTGTGAAAAATCATTACTGTAATCGACATGTCGTACATGAATTAGATGCAGTTTATACTTGTATGTATGCTAGAAAGATATTTACGTTTTTTATCTCTGAATTCTTTTTTGGTTCCTCCCTTTTTAAAACGTGCGTCACGGACCTTGATGTTTTAGATGTAAAACTATATATACGGCCATTATATTTTTATTTTTGTCTACCGGTACGCAAACGATCTTTTAATATATTTTAGGACGTAGGTTCGATTTCAATAGTTTTTCCGTTTTACCCTGGAGCTGCCTAATTGGGTAACAGTGAAGAACGATCGAAACTGCATGCGTTTCGTGCGTTTGCACACGATAACAAGAAAGACTCACGAGTGTACTTGGATACCTCGCGAGAGAAAATCATTAATTTATCTCTCGCCACAAGTCTAAAACGTACACCGTGAAAAACAGTTTCCTTGGCTCGATACCAAAGAATCGCCAAGACTCGATACACCAAACCCAATCGTAGCTAGTTTCCAAAGATAAATTAATCGTAAAATTTTTCTAAAAGATTTTCTACGATATCATCGACGATCGACGTTTCGATTATCTAACGTTTAACGTTCGGTTATCGATATACGATCGTTTTCGGTTTTACGATCGGGGGAGGGGGAAGGGAAAGAAAAGACCAGGAACTACGCGGGTGTTTGATCGTCGTCGATGTTCCACGTCCTTTTTCGATCTACGTCTGCGCGTCTCGGCCGGGTCTATAAAAGCGACGCAGGGCGTCGCGACGACTCCAGACGCGACATGCGCGCATTGCTGAAAATGTGAGACAGAACTACGTTTGCCGTTTTTTCGTTACCGTTGTTAGCAGCTTCCCTCGATTTCTGTGAGAACCGATTCGCGACGATTCCCATCGAATCTATTCACATCGATTATTTCGAGTCGTCGTGTCCGTTCGTGTTTCGCATTCATAGCACGCTGTTAGCTGTGAAAATGTAATTGTGAGAGGCCGTTGAAAGACAGACGTTCGTGGAACCGTAACTGCAATTTACGTCGAATTCAGTGTGTTGCATGATCCATGCGTTAATTCGCCTACGGCGACGTTTCACCCATCGTTCAAAGGATTTTATCGTCGTGGTAAGTTTTAAAAGTATAATTCCTTGTCCCCTGTCGATCACGATAATCAACGATTACGCGACTAAATGAAAATATTATACCGTGACAGGGTGAAATGAAAATAAATCGAAGAGAAAATACCTATATGCAAAACAGTTCTTCTCTTATCGAACGTTCGTCCATACATCTCTCTCTCTCTCTCTCTCTCTCTCTCTCTTTGACCGTCTCCTAGAATACCTTGTTAAACGCAAAGATACGCCAAAATATTACTCCACTAATCTCTCGCATGCGTTAAAATAGCACCGGTAAACACAAACGCTAAATATATCTGTGTCCAAACTTTGTCAGAACGAACCGGAAAAATCCGGCGGTGATATACGAAAAAATAATCAACCGTCTTTTCTTCGTTTTGCGTTAAGCTACCAGAAACATAGAGACGAAAGAACAGATCGTAAACGACCGTCACGATGAATCGAATCGCGCGATCGAAGGATTTAACAGCTTCGATGGTTTACTCGTTCCAAAAAAAAAGAAAATATTTGTCCGTCGAATGCAAACGTTTTCGACGATAATATTTTCAGAAAATCATTTTCCTCTTATTTCCATTACTTTTCGTTCGATGTTGGTTCGAACAGAGTCGGCGGAAATGGTAACAAGATGAATTTAGGCGCGTTGCCGCAGCGAGATCCTTGCTATTGATCTAGCCAGCTCCAAAGGTCCTGGGTTCACCCGGCCAACCTCCGGCGTCATCCCCTCTCGTCGCCAACGTTCCCAGACCTCCGTGGCCTGCTCGTCCTTCGCGTACATGGCCCACCAACCCTCGAAATCTCATCAATTTTTTTCGACAATTTTCAATTTTAGTCGAAAAACCCTATTCGTCGAACCGCGACGTCGACAAGCACGTGACGAGCTTTCGGGGATCGAGCACTTTGGCGTACAGTAATGGGATTCTTAAAATGAACTCCGGACATGATTTGTAAATTGAACATTTTCATCAAAAGATGTTTTTAAAAATATACTGTTCGTTACGTTAAATTATTTAACCCTTTGCACTCCATTGGCGCAAACACAATACGCGCCATAGATTCAAGTTTCATTTGTAATAACGCAAACTGAATTTAGGAAATGTGTAAATAAAATTTAAATTATATTTAGATACAGAGAATACTTTTTTATTTTTAGAAATCACATCAAAATATTGCAATTGGTATTGCCAGTTCATATTAACATTCTCGGAGCATAAAGGGTTAATAGTTTAATAATATAATAGTGGGTGTGTATATTGAAATAAATAATTACAATATTATCAACAGATAGATTATCTGTAGATAATCGATAGATTATCAATAAGATAGATAATCAATAGATAGATTATCGACAAAAAATAAAGACTCTGAGGTTCAATAACATCGCTGTGTACAAACATCTGCTAGTGTCGAATTTTGCCTCCGCTGTACGAAAGATGAATGTGCGAGCGATGTTCATTTTACGAATCATTACTGTATTCCATTGCTAAAAACAAGATCGAGTAGATGAAAAAGGGTAACAGAGACGTGTCCAGCTATTTCTTTGGTTCGTTTCATCCGGGAAGGGTAGAGAAGCAAGGGCAAGGACAACAATTCTTGAATCAAAGACGACGAGAGACGATGGTTGTCTCCGAAACGTTTCGCGCTCGATCGACCTGCTGGCGTCGGTCGAAGTCGCTAGCAACGATGACGCAAACGGACGGAAAAACTTTTCGTCGAACTTATGATTACGCGGGCGGGTCTGAAAGAGAGAGCGAGCGAGCGAGCGAGAGAGAGAGAGAGATAGAAGGTGAAAAGCCGGACGGGGATCGATCGACGTTACGCGTTCGCGTGGTAACCCGGGAAGCTCGTACAGGCGAGAAAGAAACCGCGAATAACGAGGATATGGTCTCTGATTACAGATGAAACTTCACGAGAAGAAAGAGTCCGGCATACACAAAGTTCAGGAGGTTCCTCTGAAGGAGCTGGAACTGTCGAAGGAGTACGAGGTGGAGAAGACGTTGGGCGAGGGCAGTTTCGCGAAAGTTTTGCTAGCTACGCACCGAGCGACGCGCACACGCATCGTTTTGAAAGCCGTCCACCAAGAACTGACTACGAAGAAAGACTTTTTCCGGGAGTTTCATTACTCGTATCATCTGAGCCCCCATCCGAATATTCTGTGCTCGTACGCCGTCACGTTCAAATCGGAAAAGTGTTTCGTTTTCGCGCAAGAGTACGCGCCGCACGG